AACGGGAGGAGGCCCCGACGGGCTTGCCTGGTGACATACGATAATCTTTTGACTTGTCTTGGCAAGGTTGTGTCCACATTCGGGGCAATATGAATGGGAGCTCATCCACTTATCAATGCACCTATCATGGAACCATGGTTGCATTTCGGTAAGTGCAGCATTTGGTCACCAGTCGCAAAATCTGATAGACATATCATACACAGTCCAAGCCGAGGGAAGTTCAAGTCGGCATAGTAGTTCACCATTGGAAATGTCTTCAAGGCTTTATGCTTGACCCCTCTGTTCGCTAACCGGCTTGAAGAGTTCCACAATGACGCATATAAAAATGCGTGGATCTACAAAGACAAAAGCAAAAGATGGCATGATAATCATATATTGCCACGACAATTCAATATTGGACAGTATGTGCTGTTATTCAACTCATGATTGAAGCTATTTCCTGGGAAGTTAAGGTCTCGTTTGTCTAGGCCATTTGAAGTAGCAGAAGTGTACCCCTATGGCGTTGTGCTAGTAAAGAACTTGGTGGATGGAAGCATGTACAAAATCAATGGACAGCGTTTGAAGCGTTATTGCGGTGAACAATTTCGACACATTACTTCTGTTTCACCAAGTGAAATTCCATTTAATTAATTTTTATTTTGCTTTTAATAAGTCAACCAATCTTACCAAGCACAATACATGTTCGCTTCCTCATGGCAAGCACGAATAGAGGTATAACAATGAGTTTTTCAACTGTGTTTTGTTTGAAGTAGGGGTTAAATTATTGAACGTTCAAGACCTACATCCATTTGCTTATGTGAACAATACCATCGCCAAACTCAAGTGGAAGACCTTTTCTGTTCACCCTGGTGATATGTAGCGGAATTGGTGTGGGAGTTTTACAACAACCTTAAAAACAAGTAGTAGCCATTGGTCTGTGTGAGGAAGAAAATGGTTCACTAGTGGTCAATTACCCTTAACAAGATGCTGGGCATTGCTGAAACAGAGGAAGAGAACACAAAGTTCATTGTTGGTCTCACTAACGCTTACTTGTAGCTGATCAACGATGACCTTTGCCTACCCGATTGTGGCTGAAACAAATCAACCACTAGCTCCAACACGATCCAATGAAAGCAACTCACCTTACCAATAAGAGTATGGTTTATATTCCTCCACACTTGTTTAATGCCCACAATGCACTATTGTAACATTATAAAAAATTGCATCTTCTTGTTGCATTCCATTCTATTTGGTAGACATATCAATGTTAGCAAAATTATTTCTGAGGAATTGTATGCATGTGACCAAAAGTCTACCAGTTATCTATTCTTTCCATCATTAATCATTGCACTGTGCAATGAAGCACAAATGGTTGTAGCTTATTCTAAGCAGGTTCTAGAAAATCGGGGTGCCAATACATCTTTTATGATCAAGAGCATGATGCTACCATAGGAGTTCTCTTAGGATCACGATGACGAGGAAATGGATGTTGTTGCTGGTGTTGCCACTACCTCTGCACAACCTAGTGGTCTAGCCTTGTAAGAGTTCCAAGGTACCTTAGCCTTGATCACCATAAAGCAAGAAAAAATATGTTAATGTTGAGTCACACCTTGCAGATTTAGTCCTAAATGCATAAAGTTAATGTCTCCTATTGGGAATACGCTCAAGAGAGGGACAAAGGTATTTAGAAGGTGTGACAGAAGAAATTTCCAAGAGTGGTTTCCATGTTTCTTGCATTTTCAAGTCAAGTATTGGAGGACTTAGCCAAACTACATATAAGTGATGCTGAAAACAATTCGTCTAACATTGATGACAAATCAAAAAAAGGACGGGGAAGATGTTGCTAAGAGGATTGTTGCTGAAGAGGATGACAACATCGAAGGCCAAACTCATGATAAGGAGAAGGATACTGAAGAATCCGAGGAGGTCAATATCATGGACATAGACAAAGAGGGTCCCAGGCAGCAGGAGGAAGAGCCAAGCTTGGAAAGGAGGACCAGAGCTATGATAAGGAGTCTCGTAGACTCCTTGATTTGAATGATAACAAAGCAACTCGAGAGGCAAAACATTTTTAGCTGAGGAGGAATAAAATCTTTTTGTTTCCAAAGTAAAATTATTGAAAATGTCACGATAAAGGATTGTCTGAGAAGGACTTTGTTACGCTTGTAGGCGATATAGAAGAAACGTCGAGAGAAACCGTGGTGCACACACGAACATCCAAGATCTAGAAGAAAATTGTTGCAGCAACTTCATTGACTCTAGCCCCTTCTATTATTATGGCCACTTCCACAACATCACCGACCAACAAGGAAACAAAATTGAAGGTGAAGGAAAAAAATAACTGCTAAGAAGACCTACCCAATTATTGTCAACCCTAGGAAAAGCCCAAGAAAGACTCATTAGGGTATTTTATCTTCCCCTCTTCCATTTAGTTTAATTTATGTTTTTTTTTTGTTTATTATTGCATGCATTGAGGATAATGCACTTCTTAGGTTTGGGGGTATGTTGTCCATTTCTGTTGTTTATATTGTTTTGTTCATATTGCATTTTTTACATTTTAATTGCATTAGTGTTCATATTGTTTAATTCATTTAGGATGTTTCATATATAGTGTTTCATGTATGATGCTGGTAGATTAATAAAAATTTTAAATGAAATTTGGAAGACGCTCGATGATAAACAATAAAACTATGAAATGGAATGGGAATGTTTTAGATACTTATTAGGATTACGATCCATATAAAGGTTTTTACATAATAGGTTTATGTTCTTAATACTTCAAGACAACAGAAATTTGATTTGGTTTTGTTTGATAGCATTATTCTACAGTATTATTGTTTTAGAATAGTTAAGGTATGTATCCCATGAGTTATTTGCTAAAACTCATACAAAGAATAAATTCTTACGAGAGTAAAGCTTTCACCCCGACTTAATTGGAACGAAGCTCGTGTTTAGAGCTTTTGTTATGCAAATGCAAGTGATGTGTGTGAGGTGGTGCGTACCTACCTTTGACACAAACGGAAAAGAAAAGAAAAACTTCGACAAAAACTTGGACAAAGCTGAAAGAAACAAATGAAACGTTACTATAATAATTAAAAATGAAGCAATTAAAAACTTCAATAAATGGATCATAAGTTAACTAAAGACCCAAATTAATAATTTCCACCAAGACGACAATGTGTAAGCGACTTACAGCCTGACTCTCTAAAACAAAGTCCCCAGTGGAGTCACCAAGCTGTCATAACCATTTTTAAGGAAAAGAATTAAATAATATTTTAAAAAACGATTATGACTTTTTTTATTTGGAAAATTGGTGAATTTGGAATTGATTTGAATAAAATAGAAAAGAGTCGCCATCGACCTTTGGGTTAGGTAGGTCGAATACCTAAAAACGTCTTTTAAAAACAATTTTAAGAAAAATTATTTTTAAGACAAAAAAGTTGCTCTGCGTTTACAAAGATTCAATTAAAACTAGGGTTCAGTTTGTTACGCATGGGGAAGGATTAGCACTCCCACAATGCCCAAAACTGGTATTATGTCGCTTACATGTTGTCGTAATGGTGGAAGTTGTGAATCGAATTTAAAGTTAAAATATGATCTATTTATTGAAATATAATTAATTTGCTTCGACTTAAATATTTACAGAAAATCATTTTACACGATAAGAAAAATTAAAATTTGCAATCCTCCATCGGGAAAGCTATTTCAACTATTTCTCATTTGTTAAAGAATATTCCGTCCTTATATAATTTTAAAAAAATTGAATCGAATATAAATTAAAAAATCATCATTTGCATAAAATAAACAAATTGATGTTTGGAAACGTATATTGCATCGTTTGAATAAAAACACATTAATTAGTAAATTAAACTCGATTTCATTTCAAGTTTCCATATCGTTAAAATGATGTATCAGATCGCACCACTTCGATCAAGTTATAATACACTAATTTTGTCTAGACAATTTAAGTCCATTTGAAGATGATTGATAATTAATTTGAAAGTGTTTGTGCTCGATGAGGAATTAATTCAAATGATGAATCATGGAAGTTTGCATTTGGAAGCTTTGGGTGCTTAATTGGATAGTAACCGTTAGGGATGGCAAATGGGCGGGTCGGGTGCGGATACCCCCTCCCCCATCCCCATACCTACCTAATATTTTTCAATCCACCACCCGCCCACCACCCATGGTGGGTACAAATTTTCAAATCCACACCCGCCCACGCGGGTACATTTTCAAGTCCATCCCCACACTCACTACCCACTAGCGACATACCTATCTAGACCCGCCTGACAGCAAACTAAAAAGATGTTGGAGTTGGTTCTAAGACAGTTCGTGATGGGGTAGTAGCGCATGCTTCAATTTGTCAGAGGAGTAGCTCTACGAATGTTATGGAGACAGATTGTAGGGAGCATGTAGTCGCAGAGCTGGATTGTTGTGTTGCTTTCAATGTTAATGCTCATAGTGCGCCTAATATGGGTTTTGAGGGTTAAGAAATGGAAACTGCTGCTTTTGATGTTAATGCTTAATACGACTAATTTGTTTGGATGGGCAACATGGGCTAAAGAACATGGAAAGTGACGTGGTTAGGATTATAGGTTTAATCAAGAGTCGAATATTTCCTAATTAAAGACCAGATTAAAGACTAAATATCCTTAATATTTGGATAATTATATATTATATATTATACAATATTAAAATTTATAAATTAGTCTCTAAAATTACTTAAATTCATAATGGTCCAAATTTAATAGATTTAGCTGGTGGGGGATGTGGGGCGGGGGATACGGGGCGGTGGATGCGGGGCGGATGCGGGGAGGGTAATGTCTCAAACCCATTACCCGCCCAACACCCACGACGGGTACTATTTTATAAATCCACACCCGCTCACTACCCGCTAAAATTATACCCATCCCCGCTCCAATTGGAGCGGATGCGGTGCGGAATCCACGAAACTGTACCCGTTTGCCATCCCTAGTAACCGTATATGTTTCCTTTTGGAAATCGAGATATAAAATGAAGTTCAATCGAAAATCCAAATTAAGTATTAGAGTCCCTTTACATCATACACTCTTTATATCTTACACAAGCCCAAACCAGATTACAAATAATTAACCCAGCAGGAGCCCAAGAGCAGCCCAAGTGTGAGCCCAAGTGTGATCCGGTTACAACCCACCCAGACCCGGTTGCAGTAACTTTACCCGGGCTGCCCATGCCTCCTACGTGAAACCCCTCGTGGTTGTTGCCCACGTCTCACCCATGATCTGCTCCGCCATGATGTGCAATTCCCCATACCCCACTGCAGCAGCTCGTGCCTCCCAAGGGAAGCCCATACCTGTCGGACACCCAAACAAAAGCCACCACTGGCGCCCATACCCTGTAACACGCCAAACAAAGAGTGGCTGGAATGAGTTTCGGAATAAAGGTGGGGGAACCATTCGAGCAAAGGAAGACCAAAAAATATCACATACGATTCGAAAGAGGAACTCATCAGCAAGGGTAATTTCAACGGGGGGCATTTTATTTTGGTTCGAAAGCAATGTAATAGGGGGATCATCAAAAAGAAAGAGGAAAACAAATGTAAAGATGAATCCGGCAGTGTAAACCAAGGGTATTTCTTCCTTCATTTTTAATGAACAGAAAGCAAGTGTAAGCAAGGGATTCCCTTTCGTTTATATACAAGGAGTGATACAGGGCCTTCATTTTTTTGTTATTTCATTTCAAAAGGCAGAGCATACAAGTAACTAAGCTTCAAGAGGTATTCAACCATTTTCATATTTCAGTAACGATTTTTCATTATTATTCAAAGCATGTTCGAACTAAATAAATAAAATAGGAGCAGGGAAGAAAGGAATTTTTTACCTGAACCGATGAAGCTTCTCGCCGGAGTTGAGGCCATCGGGGTAGAGAGATTCGAAGGATCGAAGGATCTCGCTCCAAATAGGGGATGTTTCCTTTAGCTTTCTAGGTTCTAGAGTAGAAAAAGAGGTGATTTTGCGGTTGTTTGGTCGTCGTTAGGTCATTTTGGTCGGGGTTTAGCGTCGGTCGGAGCAGAAGTGGCGTCGACGAATAGCGGCCATGACTCCTTTAGGTTTCGGTTTTCAGTCGAGTTAGGTAGTTTGGGGAGGGGTTCGCGTTATTATCATTTGGGTCATCCTTGTGTTTCCCTCAGTCGTCGATCGAGGCGTGAGATAGCCACCAGATCGGTGGTCGGTTTTGGTTCTGCTGGGTTTTGAAGGAGGCTGTCGAGAGGAAGGCTTGGGAGAATGAGAGATGCGGTTGATGAATGTTTAGTTAAATTAGGTTAGGGTTTTATTCAGGGTTTATATAGGTGTTTCAAAACGGCAGCGTTTTGAAATAGAGCTGCCTATGTCTGGTGAGTGGGGAAATAGCGTGTGAGACCCATCAGTTTTAGACATGCTGCGTTTTAGACCTTAAATTTAGTCTTTTATGTTTTAATTTGGTCTTTGTATTTTAGGTTCATTTAATTTTAGTCCAAAAGGTTGATTTATTTATTTAGACATTTGACCATTTAATTTTGTATGTTACTATTTAGTCCCGTATGTTCAGGGTTTTATTCTGATTTTAGTCCTTGGTAATAATGAGGGTTTTAATTTAGTCTAAAAATCTAGTATAGTAAGATGTCCATGTCAACCCCATTTATTATTTTGTTTGTTGTTATGGTGCTCAAGTTTCTGTTCAATATTATTTAGTCCTTTTCTTAATAAGTACAATTATTTTCTAAAATTTGTAGTTTGACGTGCTTTGTTTTTATTTGCGTATTTAAGTCAAGTTTGTGCATTGTATGTTGGTATGCATTTCGCTTATATAGTACAATGTAAAAAATATATATGTATATAATTTTTGTTTGCATATGTCACTTTACATGAGAATCTTTAATATTTTCTTTGTTAATAGAATAATTGTTTTTATTTAATTAATCCTTGTATGATAGCCTCACGTGCATAACCTGACATAATTACATAATCGGATTAAGCGTAATACCCTTTTAATTTAAAATTGTTTGAATGGCTTTTCTTAACTCACTAGAAAGATGGTTTCTATGATTTTAAATTACAGGTGTATCTCGTCAGTGACACCAAAAAATTTTGATTCATCACTTTAAAATTTGGGAATGGAAGAAAAAGAAATATTCAGCTATTTAAGTTTATCGAGAAAAGGTTATTATAACTCATTTAAGATTGAGTCTCGATATTTTTAAATAATCGAATATTTTTTATCTTTCTAAATGATGGGTAATTTTAATTTAATCTATTTTGGTGTTTTTGAATATTGTAAAATTCATGTGTTGTTGTTTTTTCCGGGATCATAAACCAAATTAAACTCGAATTTGTAAATTTCATTGCAAATACATTAATTAATCGACTAGGTATCGATTTAGGGCGTTGTGGGGTACTAATCCTTCCTCACACGTAATTGACTCTCGAACTCAGATTTTGATAACGCATGCCTCAATTTGTCATTTTAATTAAAATTAACTTTTTATTTAAAATGGCAAAACATTTTTTGGGTGTCCAATCACACCCTAATCAAAGATTGGTGGTGACTCCTCGAATCGTATGTTTTATTTTAAAGGAATCCTAAATTTTTCGAAACAAGAAGTTTTTTAAATCATGTTCACTTTTAATTAAAATTTAATCATGAAGGGATAATTAAAAATAGAGTGGTTTTCAAAATCTCATCTCCTTTAAGGAAAAATCCTTTCGACACAAGTGATGCTTTCCACGCTCATTTTACGCATATGTGTTCTAGATATTATTTGAAACGAGTCGATAGATAAAGGAAACCATGAAAACAAATATAATTTGAAATTTATAAATAAACATCTACATCACATAAAATTAATAATGTATCTAAAATAATACGATAGTTGGAATATACAAAATGCATATACATGAAGGATTAGAACAAATTAAAAATTATGAATAAAAATAAAAATAATAACAACAAGAAATAATCATATTCAATTTAAAAGACTTAAATAGCAAAAACATAAACTGAAAGGGCTAAAACAACAAAAATAGAAATTTAAGGGACTAAAATGGAATTAACAGAAACGTAAAGGGCTAAAAAAGTAAAAACCAAAATTTAAAGGACTATAATGGCAAAATAGAAACTTAAAGGGCCAAAATAGTGAAAATAAAAACTTAAGGGTCTAAATAGCAAATATAGACATTTAAAGGACTAAAATAACAAAAACAAACACTTAAGGGACTAAATAACAAAAAACAAAAAGTTAAAGGACCAAAATAGCATAAGCATAAATTTAAAGGACTAAAATAGCTCAAATAGAAACTTAAAGGTACTAACATAGCAAAACATAAGCTTAAGGGACTTAACCAATAAATACGACAGATCAGAGCCAAGATTAAAAATATTAAATAATGTAGGTAAAATGTAAATAACCCATTAACAATATTAGGGACTAAAAAGAAATAAATAGAAACATAAAAGGTCGAAATATAATTAAACCAAATGCTAACAGTTCTAAAATAAAATATTTACAAATATAATGGCCAAAGTCAATGTTAATAAAAATAACATAACAAATAATAAAAGGGCTAAATCATAAGTACCGAAACATAAGTACTCAAAATAGAAGCATATAAAAATTCATTAAATATCATTATACTGAGATTACAAAATACGGGGGACCTAAATGGCTATTATCCCCTAAATTTAAAAAAACACGGGAAAGGGGATAGCAAAACTACGTCGTTTTGTTGGCCGAATATAAGGCCCAACAACAGGCAAAAAATGGGCCACTTCTTCATTTTCTCCCATTTTCTAGAAAAGAAGAGAGAGAGAGAGTTGAGAACTCTCTCAACTTCCCCTCACCGGGTAAAAAGGAATCGCCCTCCGACGACGACATTCGTGGCGACGACTGCTGTGACGCACGGAGGAGGCCAAAAGGCTTTAAACCACTCCCCTCACATCCCTCTACTCGAAACCCGAATCACTTTGGCCTAAAAGCAACCCTAAACCCCTAGATCTAGGTGGTTACCTTTGAAAGATTTCAAAATCCGGTGACCTTTCGGCTTCCATGGCTTCGAACTAAGGTACTCATTCTCTCTTTCCTTTTTCTCTTGATTTTTTTCTCTCGATTTTGTGGTTTCGTTGTTTGGCTCTCTATTTTTTTCGAATGCTCTGGATCTTTTTTTAGTTGCCCTCTGTCTCCATTTTTTTCACCGAATCGTTCCTCTTCCCCCTCAATTCTTCCCCTTCTACTTTTTATCTTTTCTCTATCATCAGTCCTTGTTGATGGATTTTGTGATAGATAGATAACCTTTTTCAGTGATATAATGTCCCTCGGTAGGTTATCATATCCTAGATTTCTAGGATAAGATTTTATTTGATTTTTTTTTCTTTCTGACCGATTTTGGGTTCACTGTTTGATGGATGTTGTCATTGTTGGTGCAAGTTTGTCGACGGTGGCGAGGGAAGTCAACGGCTTGAGAGGCGACTGGAGTGATGTACGGTGAAGGCTCACGAGCCAAAGGGGAAGCCGAATAGCTGCTGGCGGCGGCTGCTCCATTGTTACTTATGGTTAGGGAACCATAATTCCTGGTTGCTCATGGACCGTTGGAACTTGATTAGATCCAACGGTAGAAGATGGACTGCTGGACGCGACAGGATAAAAACCCTAATATGCTGAGCTTCGAGTCAGGTTAGCTGAACGGGGTCTGGATCAGATCTTGAATGCTGGGCCAATTTGGGTTGGGTTTTAATGGTCTTGGGTTGGTTGTTGTAATTGAATACTAGTTGTAAATGGGCTCCAGTATTGGGCCTACAAAAATGTAATTGTTTTGTTAAATAATAATAATAATATAATAATATAATTAAAATAATGTTTTTGTAGACCCAGACAAAAACGGGTGTCTACACCCTCCATATCTAAGGTAAGGATTCTTCAATGTTGGTTTTTGCTTTCGTTTTTGGGTTGGTTTTGAAACCTTAAGTGATATAGAGGCTTAAGGAAAGCTCAAGGAGGATTAAAACTAAGAGATGAAGGTTTTATTTGAGATTTAATAAAATGGGGTTTTAAATGATTTGATGAAATAGGGTCAGTTATGGGAGTTTAAAGACATTTTTTACTTGTGAAAGAAGTGAATAAGAGATTTGGAGCCTTAGAAGTGATTAAAAACAAGTTGAAAAAATTGGTGTGATTCTTAGTTTTGAGTGTTCTTTGGAGATTTTAGTTGTTATGAGAAGATTTATGGATGTAAGTTAGTTGGATTAATCAATGATGAGTTTAATGGTATGGTTGGGGATAAAAGTAAGAGATTTAGGCAAAAATGTGGTAAAAATTGAAGTGAAATATGTAAAATCTGGGTAAAGGTATCGGTACTGGAAGAACAATATCGATACTATAGGGTTAAATTTGAAAACAAATGATGAACACGATGAACAGTATCGATACTTATGCAAGTAGTATCGGCACTGAAGTGGGGTATCGATACCAAGAGGAAGGTATCGATACTATTCTTGAGAAATGTATTTTAGAATGTAAAAATGGTATCGGTACTGAAGGGAGTATCGGTATCATAGTATGGAAGTATCGACACCATAGGAGGGGTACCGATACTATTTAGCCTGGAATTTTAAGTTGGAATGAATTTTAATAGAATTCGAGAATAATAGTACTTTTGAGTATTATTATTTTGTATAAATGTTAAAAATTATAGTAACATTTGTATTGTATCTGTGATTATGGATGCTTGTGTAGATCGTAACCAAGCTCCTGAATCAAGTAAGTACAAGGGCAAGAATAATGTTGTCGAATAATCGGACATCAATAAGGCATAATAGTGAGGCCTACCAGGCGAGTGCACTTATTATGTACTTATATGTTATAATAGTCATAGATGCATTTTGCTTAATGTATGTATTGCATTTACCAAATGTGCACTATGTGTGCAATCTAAAAAATTCATAATGAGTTTATGAATTCCTGTATTGACATTATGTGTGCAACCTAAGAAATTCATAATAAGTTTATGAATTTATGTATTGGCACTATATGTGCAACCCACGTAATTCATAATGAGTTTGTGAATTACCGTATAGACACTACGTGTGCAAAACCAGAAAATTTATAATGAGTTGAATTATCAAATTTATATTTTGATAGTTATGATATACTTATGTTTTAAAAGAAAATTTATCTCATTGTTATTACGCCTCACTAAGTGATTACTTAACGTGTGTTGAATTCACGTGTAGGTATTAGTACGAGCGGAGTAAGGAGTGCATCTGACATTGCCAA